CATTGTAAATTTTGGTCAATGACATGAGACAAAGTATATGTGAACTGCTGTATGAAAAGTGAATTTACTCTGTAAATCTTCACCCAAATCCTAATTAGAAAAAAAAATGGGTTACAAAACAAACAAACAAACAAAAAAACTCTGTCCCAGCTACCTTGATGGATCCCTGCCTACCTGTCAGCCCTCCTCTTCTCGTCACCAGGCCTAACGGGCTTGAGCAGAATGAGCACGAAAGAGATCATAGTAAGCAAAGTGAGCAAAATTAATGTTTTAGAAGGGACACAGATCATGTGTGGCCATTGTATGGACTTTTGAATGACATGAGAGGATATAATCTGCTCCATCTTAAGTTTTAACAGAATTACTCTGGCTATTGTGTTGAGAAGACTTTGGGGTAGTCAAGGGCAAAAGCTAGAAGACCAGTTAAGCAGCTATTGCAATAATCTAGAGAGAAAACGGGAATGACTTGGACCAGGAAGGTGGCAGTCGTGGCAGTGAGAACTGGTTAGATTCTCCATATAGTTTGAAAGCTGAGCTAACAGGAGTTACTGAAGATTAAAAGTGAGATGTGAGAGGTGACATCAGTGATTTTGGCTTGAGAAATGGGGAGAATGGAGTTGCCCCTGATTATGATGCGGGAAAAATTAGGCAGAAGAGGTTGTAAGAGCTCCATTTTGGATTCCTCCCCTAAATGTGTTTCTCCTCCTTAAATGTCTGTGAGGGATACTGTTGAGCATCTCTCTATCCAATACCTATATTCCTTACAGATCCCATGTAAACTCTCCAGCCCCATTTCCTAGCATGCATTCCAGACTTTGAAATCCTAATCCTGGGGCTTTCCTGCTTCACGGCCTTTACACATGCAGTTCCTCTGTCTGAGTGTCCTTTTGCCCTTAGCCCTGCAGGATATCTGCTCCCTTTAAAACAACCCCATGACACTGCCTTAGGATCCTGCCACCTATGTTCCTCTGTGCTCCCATCAAACCTGAGCCTGTTCCTTCAAGAAGCCCATGGCTTTTTAAGGGAATTGGGATGGTAGAATTAGAGTCACTCATCATAGGCAGTGTCTCTACAATGAGTAATGGCATAACTGGGTAGTTTTGCCCTTCCCTACCTTCCCACCACTCATCAGCTTATATGTGTGTCTAGTCTATATTGTTTCTTAGGCTTTGTAAGTTTTCCATTCAAAGTTAGTAGAGTAAGATTTCTCTCTGCTAGAAGCACCCTAAGCTTCTGGGGCTGGGATGGGGTGTGAGTGTCTTGTGGCTGCTCATACCCTTTCATTTTCTTCATATGGAAGCTGCTCAGCTCTCTCTCTCTCCAGGGCTTTGTCTCTCTTTGTTTTGCTCTCAGAGTGTATTCCACTTGCAGTGTGAAGGCAGACAGTACATTTTCATTCTTTTCCCTTCTAGTGGAGCTGAGCATTTTTCTGACTACATTCATTTCTTGGACCATTGTTTCAGAGAACAGCCTGTGGGGAGCTTTGGTGCCCTTTCTGGAGCTGTAACTGACAGTGCAGAGCCCACCCATCACTGTGGAATAAAGATTAGATTCTCTTGACCCAAGCTAGTTTCTTACCCAATGCATAAAGGTGTAGAAACATCTTCCTCTTCATCTGCCCTCGCTTTATCTCCCACTCCTGGTTTGTGTCTGCTGCATCTGCAAGTTTCATTTTCCCTTAAGAACTTACTCTTCTTCCTTCGACGCCTAACTATTTCTTCAGTACCAGTCACGGGCACTGTTTTCATTGTAAGCTGAGCCACTTTGCTTCCACCCAAGGTCACCTTCTGGTTCAGTAGGAGACTTCTCTGGATCCATCTGCCTTGGAGAAATGAGGTTTTTTGTTTTTCCATTGTAACCTCTTTGAAACTTTAAGGTTGTTTGTTGTGTCTTATTCTCAGGTATTGGGAAGAATGTGGTGTGTGAGAAGGCAGCAACCTCAGGGGATGCCTTCCGGATGGTGACGGCCTCGCGCTATTACCCACAGCTGATGAGCCTGGTGGGGAACGTGCTGCGCTTCCTGCCTGCATTCGTGCGCATGAAGCAGCTGATTGCCGAGCACTATGTGGGTGCAGTGATGATATGCGACGCCCGCATCTACTCAGGCAGCCTGCTCAGCCCCAACTATGGCTGGATCTGTGATGAGCTCATGGGTGGCGGGGGCCTGCACACCATGGGCACCTATATTGTGGACCTTCTGACCCACCTGACTGGCCGGAGAGCTGAGAAGGTACATGGGCTGCTCAAGACCTTCGTGAGGCAGAATGCAGCCATCCGTGGCATCCGGCACGTCACCAGCGATGACTTCTGCTTCTTCCAAATGCTCATGGGTGGGGGGGTATGCAGCACAGTGACTCTCAACTTCAACATGCCAGGTGCCTTTGTGCACGAGGTCATGGTGGTGGGCTCTGCAGGACGCCTGGTTGCTCGGGGGGCTGACCTATATGGACAGAAGAACTCTGCCACACAAGAGGAGCTGCTACTGAGAGACTCGCTGGCTGTGGATGTAGGGCTGCCTGAGCACGGACCACAGGATGTGCCACTGCTCTACCTGAAGGGCATGGTGTACATGGTGCAGGCCTTGCGCCAGTCCTTCCAGGGACAGGGTGACCGCCGCACCTGGGATCGCACCCCCGTCGCCATGGCCGCCTCATTTGAGGACGGGCTGTACATGCAGAGTGTGGTGGATGCCATCAAAAGGTCGAGCCGATCTGGGGAGTGGGAGGCTGTGGAGGTGCTGACAGAGGAGGCCGATGCTAACCAGAATCTATCCGAGGTGCTCCAGCGAAATAACTTGTGAGCCTGCCTGTGGGCTCCCTGCCAAGGGCACAGGGACCAGGAGCCATGGCGGGAGGGTGTGGCCGTAGCAGAAAGGTGGCTTTTATTTAACAAGTCTGCTTGTACTGGGTCTGGGTGGAGTCTGAGGTGATGCTGGGCATACACCTCCTCCCTCCTTTCATTTACCCCCCTCAGACTGGCAGGGCATGAGTGTTCTGTTGCTCTCAACAGTACAGTGTGTGCAGGTGGGGCTGCCACCAGATCTCACTGGTCGCACTGGGGAACAGGGCCCACAACAGCTTGACTTGTGGGCTGCTTCAGCCTGATTGTGGCCCTGAGAGGGTGGGAAAGCACAGCAGGAGCCGGCTTGGCCGACTCCTCGGGCTGAAGAGCAAGGCCAGGAAGCCTTGTTTCCATGCCCTTCCTGGGCTGGGCCTTCTCAGGAATGGTGAGGGTATCTTGTCATCCCTCGGGGATCTTCCCTGGCCGCCTCCTGCGACTGGGCCCTTCGGGCTGCCCCTTCCCTGGTGGGAGGAGGGGTTTCTTATTTAGGCAAGCTCTCAGGGGCTATTTAAGGGGCCTGGTTTGCCAGGGAGGAAACAAGGGAGAGGTTTAGAACATCTGATAAATGTTAATAAAGAGAGTGTGACATCGTGGCATGTGGTTTTTGTTTTTGTTTCTTTCTGTGTTAGGTGGGGTTTTGTCAGTAATGAAAGGCCTGGTTATTGCTTCATGTTGTTTAGATTTCTCTCTTTCCTCATGGCTCCTCAGCAGCTCAGCCCAGCATGGACCCGTCACTGTCTAGTGGGCCACTCTGGCCACCGCCCCACCCACATCACTGTGCTTATTCCCTCATGGCCGAGTCCTAGGATCCCTTCAAACAAATGTCTTTCTTCAGAGAGCAGGACTCAGGAGTCCCTGAGAGGGCCTTGTGGGGCCTTCCCATTTCAGGGAGACAGTTTGAGGCCTCTTGGGACATGATGGCAAGAGGGAGTTTTGTTTTTGAAATCATGGAGTTGGCACCAAGAGTCTTGGGAGAGAGGAGGTGAGGAAGGATTCTGGGCGCTGCCCCTTGGAATGGGTTTAGCCAAAAGCTGCTCAGCCTGGCCAGCCAGTCACCAGCCACCCCTTTGTAAACTGTGCTCCACACAGGAATAGGCTTTTCACCATGAAAGTCAGAGGTTGGGTGAGAGTTGGGAGAAGACACTTAGTCCCTTTTGTTTCCTTGTCTCACTTTGTTGGCCTGCCAGGATTGTTAAGCCGGAACCAAACTGTGCCCTTCTCCAACCTTCCCCCTCTGCCGTACCCTGTGCCCTTTGCCAAAAAGGCTTAGGGGAGGCTTCCCTTTCCTCTTGGCACCCCTTCTAGAAGTCACCAGGCTTGTTTTCCTGTATTGTCCTGGTTGCAAACATTATCTTTTTGAAAGAAACTATCAATGGGCAGTGTTGAACTGTGTTTACTTTGAGCTGGGGCCCCCAGGGTAAACCTTTCATGTGCTTGCTTTTAACCTCCAAACAACTGTGTTGTTGTTGTTGTTATGTGCTGTCCAGTCAAACCCGACTCAGCGACCCCTCCTTGGGTTTCCGAGGCAGTATCACTACAGAAGTAGGATTGCCCAACCTTCCTTCCGAGGAGTGGCTGGTGGGTTTG